TGCCTTTTTTCTTTCTAGCATCTCCAAGAATGACGAAGACGACCGGTGTCTTTGCAACATTCCTTCTACTTTTGGTCATCTGCAATGCAAAACAGGCACAAGAAGCTGCCACGAAACCAAAGAAACACGATTTAGAGCAAGTGCTCAGTGAAATTGAAGTGAGTGATCCAGAATGGGAGACGAAATGCCCAGATGGAGATCACGGGCATAACATTTGTCATACAAAGGGGAAAAACTGGAGCGAATTCGTTAGGAGCATGCTACGCGCAATGTCCAAAGTGGCAGCCTACATTTTACAGGAGAAACACAACCATGATGATGATGATGAATAAATGACCATATTTCAATTCAACTAGTTCCGCGAAGTTCACTACAACACATTAGATTGATTTGCTCCCGAAATTCGCCTTTCCAAAAACTTGGTTGAACGGGAATTCAGTTTGTGACAGCTCTGCACATAAAAGATGTAATAAATATCTTTTCAACTGCTTTTAAAAGAGTGAACAATGGTTTTTTCCAAGTGCGAAATGACCTTTCCGTAGATGAACGATTAAGCAAATCTGGATGTTGCAATTTTTGCACCAGGCAACGGTATCGCCAGACTCTTCGTACTTTACAACTGTTTGAAGTCAAAAAGTGGAAACAGAGTTGTGTGGTATGCTTCGGTTTGTCAACGTGTCAATATTACCATGTTTTCCAATTCCGCGCACGTTGTTCCAGTTCACAAGCCTCCCCCCTCTGATGTGAATCATTGGCCGCGCCTTCACTTGAAACAGTTTATGGCCCGTATGGCCTAATTATCTCAGTACATGACCGTATTGCAGTTCTGGTGAACCTTACTAAGAGTGGATAGTTTTAGTTGTACGTTTTGGAATTCAGCTCGGAGCAAACTTGATGGTGTGGCAGTGAGCAACCGATAGTAGTCGTTATTATGATTCCTGTTGGAGTATGGACGATCTAACATCACGGCCAGTATGTAACGCAAACGATATGTCGACCGCAATCGGGCGTCAGTCAAGAAGTTCGTCAAAAACGGACCCAAATCTCAGGGGAATTTATGAAGGAGTAATTACTTGCCGTCTTAGACGTACTTTCACACCGAGGCAACCGATCTATCCGTAAAATCGGGACTGTAAACGGGTTTTTACGCTTTAAATCCTGAAGTTACTAAATAATGATAGTTATAATAACCGTTCGATGTCTAGCTGCCATGCCACCCGAAGGTGGCACGAAAGCTGGGATACTATCAGATTGCTCAAGCCTAGACAGGAGAAGTCAGGTAGGGTTCGGACTGCAGACATTCCGGCCAGTGAATTAGCGCTGTAACCACTGAGCCACCCTGTAGACCTTAAAAACAAAATATAAGCGGCATCAAGTCAAACATGCTCACCAAATTAAAGTGACATCAAGCTTCAGCTACTCAAAAATATTATGGATAGGGATGGATATCCTAAATAGTTTATTGAGGAGCCCAGTTAGGTCAAACCAAAATCAGCAAACTCTGATGTTTTATCAAATGTCCAGTAGTAAAAAGGACACACAGTGCTGCAGACATTCGAGTCGTAAGCTGACCAAATGTTTACTACTGTAATCTATAAAGATCGTGATCCCACTGTGCGAACAACGAAGGACGTCATGTGGGCAAGACCAACAAATTCTAGATGCATCTCTCGCAAAACCAAATTTGCTTGTAAGTGAGTGCATTTCGCTAATTTTGTGCAATTTGAGTTCAAGTAGAACATAAAGTTGACGCAAACTCGTGGACTGCACCTACCCGACGAGCCACAATAAGGGCGAAACCGGTCGAGGGCTGTAGAGGAATTTTCAGCAACCTTATGAATTTATGAGTGGCGCATCACGTGTATCACGATATGTCGAATATCGTAGCGACTGAAGCATGAGGCGGCCTGGTGCAGCACATTAGTCGTCTGA